GCTATCTCTTAAAAAAGTTCTGACATGGGGCCGGGGAGATGGCTCAGTGGAATAAGCGCTTCCCTGGCAAGCACAAGGGCCTGAGTTCAATCCCCAGCTCTGAAAAAAAAAAAAAAAAGAAAGAATTTAAAAAGTTCTAACATAAACAAAGGGAATATTAGTCAAAGGCCTGCAACAAATTTTTTATTTTTGGCTGGCTCAGGCTGCCTTAAGGGTGGGTGTGGTACAACATGTGGTAATGGGGATTGAACCGCGGTCCCCTGAGCCTGACTGAGTTTGCCCAAGAAGGCACTTTAGACAAGTGAGCTATCTTGCCAGCCCCCGACAAATGTATTTGATTGGACAAAAACTGATAACTGTATAAAATATATCAGCTTGGCATGGATCGCATGCAGTTGACCATCATTCCTTGGAAAATCTGCATGTTGATTCTTGTAGAATAAGCCCTCTACTGCTTAAGGCCTTCAATGGAGAAAAGTCAGGAACCAGAAGCACGACATTATCTGAACACTGTCCTTGTAGCCACAGACCTCCCAAGCAGGGGCAGTGAATGGTGCTTTTATTACTGGTGCCAGCAATTTCACTTTTAGGTTACAGGAAAACAACCAGGTCCCTCGCCACCTAATGCCACCAGCCCTGACTCTCCCTGCACACGGCTGTCACCAACAGGAGTCATCCAACAGAGGACTTGTGAGGTGGCGCTGAGGACACAACACTGCACGTAAAAGTGGCCAGCAGCCCTGTGCAGTGGCTCCAGGGAATGGGAGCCTGGTGTGGTGGGCACCTATGGTCATGTCCTGAGGCTGGGGCACGTGTGTTCATGGGCAGAGCACTTGTGCAGTATGTATGGCCTGAGGTTAATCCCTAGGATGACAACCTTGCACAGCTGGCCACAGTGTCCTGTCCACGTGTGACACTGGAATCCAGGAGGCAGCCTTTCCCTTCCTACCTCCAGACCCTCACCCAGGCAGGATAACATACCCCCTTTACCAGCTAAGAGATGGTAAAGGTCTCCAGCCCATGTGCCCCTTAACTGCCAGAGTTGGGCATAAAAGCTCCTTCCTGAGTTCTAATTCAGTGCTTCCTTCTCAAACCACAGCGCACACAGGCACTAGGTGCAGCAGAGTATGCCTTTCTCCCCATTATTCCTGTGCTAGGGACTAAACCCGGGGCGGCTGGCAAGCTGGGCAAGCATCTGCCCCAGCTGTAGTTCTCTCACCATTTCATGTATACTGTGGTCAGGTCAGTTCTAAAGGGAATTCTGCACTTCTGCAGGGTGACCTCTGTACCTTACAGCTTTTTTTGGCCTGGAGACAATTTGGCTGAGCTCAGTAACTGGATGTCCATGTCCCATAAATATTTGTAGAGAATATTTACTTTTTTACACCCAACAGTATTTCCTGAAGTATGAACTGTGTAGGATGCTGTTAGACCTTAGGGGGAGGGCAAGGCAGAACAGCCGCACTGCTTCCCTTGAACACTTCTCAGGGCTTCCGTAACCG